TGCAAGATGGTTCCTGAGTGCCGCACCAAGACCTGCTGCTACAAGGTCTGCAAGATGGTCCCCGAATGCAAGACCTGCACCTACCAGGTCTGCAAGATGGTTCCTGAGTGCCGCACCAAGACCTGCTGCTACAAGGTCTGCAAGATGGTCCCCGAATGCAAGACCTGCACCTACCAGGTCTGCAAGATGGTTCCCGAGTGCCGCACCAAGACCGTGTGCTACAAGGTCTGCGTGCCGGTTTGCTGCCAGCGGACGGTGACGTGCTACAAGTGCGTCCCCCGCAAAGAGGCTTACACGGTCAAGGTTTGTGTCCCGCGTTGCGTCTCGATCCAGGTTCCTTGCCGGATCGTGACCGACTGCCCCCCGGCCGCTTGCACTGAGTGCGGCGCCCCGGCTGGCGAGTGCGGCTGCAACTGATCGTCGCGAGGTAACGACAGAGTCGCCTACATCTGACGAGCGGCACGCCTCCCGTAAGGGCGTACCTCGGAAGACAAAATAGGGCTGGTCAACACCCAAGGCGGCCCGGTCCATCTGGATCGGGCCGCTTTTGTTTTTTGGTTGGCCGGAAGTTGGATGATTCTCGCAAAGACACGGAGACGCAGAGAGACAACGGCGAGCCGGCCACGTTAGTGGTCGGTGGACCCTTATCCGAGCCGCGACCTTAAAGGAGCGACCAAGCGAGCTGCAAGCTGAGATTGACGTCCCTCCGATTAGCGACCGGCTGATTAACGACTGGCTGAATAGCGACATCTCTGGCAGCACAGCAACCAGCAACGACTGGTAAGAGTCCGGGAGTGTTTCAACGGCACGCGACAAGCGATGATGGGGAGACCCTCACGCACTCTCACCGCGAGCCGCCGCCCTGTGATCCGCCACGCGCTCCGCAGCTTCCGTCTTCAGACGCACCATGCGGCGCGGTTTGCGTCGCGGCTGCGACGGGTGGGGGTCTACGGGTTCAACCTGCTGCTCTGGTCGCGGCTGGTGGACCGGCGGCTCGACGCGGTGCCGATCGAGCTGGCGCGGACGTTGCTCGACAAGAAGGGCGTGCGATACAGCGCGCCGAATCTTGGCGTCGCGGGAGTCGAGGCCAATCGCGCCGCGGTCTGGGAAGAAGGCTTTGCGGGCGTTTATGCGACGCTGCTGCTAAACCTACAGACGCCCGACACGCTGTCGCCCGTCCGCTACGCGCACCCGGCGCCTTCCTTCGCGGGCGTCTACCTGTGGGACTCGGCGTTCATCTCGCAGGTCTGGGCGCCGTGGGACCGCATGGTCGCCAGGGACGTACTGCAAGCGGTGGTCGATCTGCGGGACGGCGATCGCTTGCAACACGTCGTCGCGGACTTCAGCGAGTCGGTGTTCACGCAGCCTCCACTCTTGGCATGGGCTGTGCATCGCTTGGCCCAGGCACAAGAAATCCGTGACGACGCCGGCTGGCTAGGCGCGATGTACGAACCGCTCGCCGCCTATCACGAATGGCTGAAAGCTAATCGGCGACTAGAAGGCGGTCTCTATGCTTGGCTTCATCCGTATGAGTCCGGCATCGACAACTCGCCGCGGTTCTCGACGCTCGATGAAAGCCGCTTCGCCGACACGACGCCCTTGGCGGCGCCCGACTTCGCGACCTACATGGTGTTGCAGTGCGAGGCACTGGCGGAGTTAAGCGACTTGCTCGACCGCGAGGACGCGCCGACCTATCGTCAAGCCGCCCAAGGCCTCCGCGACGGGATGAACGATCGCCTGTGGCACGCCGGGGACGGGGTGTACTACGACCGCAACGAAACGTCGGGGGAGTTTGTCCGCTCGAAGACGATCGCCTCGCTGTTGCCGCTGTGGGCCGGCGCGCCGACGGACGCCATCGCCAATCGGTTGCGAGACCAAGCGATGGACCCCGACGCGTTCGGGACCACCGTGCCGCTGCCGACGGTTGCACGCAACGACCCCTTCTTTGCCAAGGACATGTGGCGCGGGCCGGTTTGGATCAACACGGCGTATGCGGTGTTGCAAGGGTTAGCGCGCCACGGCTACTTGGAAGAGACCGCGTCGCTGGCGTACCGGCTGTGTGATGGGGTCTATCGCACGTTCGGCGAGTGCCGGCGGTTCTTCGAGTTCTACGACCCCGACCGCTACGACATCGAAGAGCTCGGCCGCAAAGCAGGTAATCGCTGGAAGCACTTCACGCTCGGAAGCAAGCCGGTAGGCGAGTTCGTCGGCTGGACGGGCCTCGTCAATACGATCGTCATCGAGACGCTCGTCGGCTTCCACCATGTCGCGGGGCGCCGCGTGCTGCGGCCGCTGTTGCCGAAGGAGGCCGAGGGCGTGGCGATGAACGTTCGTCTGCCCCAAGAAGGTCTCGATATCATGGTTGAACGAGAGGGTGACCGAGTGCTGGCGACGGTAAGATCGCTTGGTCTAACGCAGCGGCTGGAGATCGGCTTTGGCGAAACCGTGAACATCGACATCCCGGCCGGTGAGGAGACAGCGCTATGAAGTTCTGCGACATCACGCTCTCGTACACCGAGACCAGCGGCGGCATCCGCACGTACATCGACGCCAAGCGTGAGTATCTCAATCGCCACACCGATCATGAGCACGTGCTGATCGTCCCCGGCGAGACCGATGAGGTCATCGCCGAGGGACGCAACACGACGCATCACATCGCCAGCCCCTACCTGCCCGGCTGCAAGCCGTACCGCGTCTTCTGGCGGCCCGACAAGATCAAGCAGGCGCTCGACGAGTCGGCGCCCGAC